TACATAAGCTTGATAGATGTAAGATAACGAGTTTCACAATCCCATTTTAAATACTATGGCTTTTGGCAGCCTGGTTTTGCATCATATGTGTTTTTCAGTAAAAGCCCCATTTTCCTACTTCCCCAACGTGTAATACGCGAAAAAACTTTGTTAATAATAACAAAAAATTGTAATAGTAAACAGTGTATTTTATTATAAAGGATTTTCGTTTTTCTACTGCTCCGTACTTCGTGTGCTCCGTGCTCCGTGTGCTCCGTACTCCGTGTGCTCCGTGTGCTCCGTGCTCCGTGTTTTACTAATAGCCAGCGTCGAACATTCTGTATGCCCACATCGCTTTCCTCTTAGTATTTTCTGGGATGCTTCGCGAAGCCAACTCTATCATACTTTTACTGCTGCAAATCTCAAACCGGTCAGACGTATTCTGTTGCTCTATTGCAAAATATAAATAAATTCAAATATTAATCGCTATGATTAATGCTTGTTACTAACTTTTAAACAAAACTTAGCTAAGACAATTTTCACCTTTTCTATCCAACGTGCTTTTCCCAGGTGCATTACATCGCCGCTCACTGACACTGTTTATCTGACTTGGCCTTTCCAGTGAAATTCTCCGCTCTGCAAACAAATCCAATCGGACTGGGAAAGTATTCCATCCAGCCCATCGTCTTCCAAATCTAGACAGTCGCAATCCCAATCATTGGTCTTTTCAACTTCAAATTCATCGTCATATCCTTCTCCTAACAAACTAAAATCTCGCTTTCTCGAACCAGACATCCTCACTCCACAAATATCAATCAAGTAATAAAAAGGTAGCTGTTGAAAAAACACAGCCCAGGAATGCGCATACAAAACACAAATATGGTGTGAAAAATAATAGTACCACAACAATGCATGAACTTGTAACTATCTTAATAGTTTTCTTTGTTCATAAACACCATAATGTGCATTAAGTCGGATAATACCCTCGCTCTCGGTATTATTAAAAATAATGACCTCGCGCTACGCGCTCGGTCATTATTTTTAATAATACCTCGAGCTTGGGCATTATCCTATACATAATAACTAAACGAGGGAACTCTTTGTCCTATAATTGGTTAAAGAAGATGACAGATAGACAAACTATGTTGAATAGTTTAAAACTCTTTGTCTCCAGAGGGAAACGCAACAATTATATTCAAGAACGGTTGGATTACTGTCAAAACATCACGCAAACAAAACATCGAACATTGACCCCAAAACTTTGCCTTGATAGTTGATTCGGTCTAATTTAAGGTGGATATATGATCATATATCCAAAATATTTCAAAAAGTTTCTAGAATTTCCCCTGCATCAATATAACAAAATTAATGTAGCTGATATTCAAGCGCTGTTATGTGGAAAATTTGGTTACGTGCGATTCACTGACCATATTTGGCATATCAGGTTTATAATCTTGAACAGTCTATCCAGTGTAGGTAGTGCCAATAATACGACAGCTTCGGATTGAGAGGGATACATCTGCCTGAAAGATACAAGGAGAACTTCGACAGGACTTCATGAGATATATAGCGAACAGGCCCGTCGTAGGTCTTGATCCTCATAATTTAGCTTGCGACTCCTCTGTACATCATATCCTCCTATATCTGATTTTGATTCGCGTGCTTTGAATTTGTAGCAAGTCCCTTTTGCGTTGACATTAACATATCCATTGCTGCTTTTTTATTGTCAGGTAGCTCCTCTGGGTTTGTTATCCATGGGTATTCTGTAATCCATAATTTGTCTTCTTTGTCTGCTCATTTACAATTAGTTTTATCTTTCTTCCCTTAGCCTTAGGGTGTAGTCATTGCTCCCAATAGTTGACTTGTACGGAAGCACATAAGTAACGTAAAACCTCATTAAAGCCGGTTTTCCACTAGCGAATTTTCTCGCGCGAAGCGACCTTTTTCCTTGTCGGCATCCACTTTGCCACGTCTTGCTGACGTAATAAGTGATACCGACAAAGGAAAAAATTCGCAAGTGGAAAACCGGCTTTAGGCCTATTTTATACGTCGAATTTCGGTCGCGTCGAATGCAATTCAAACAATAGATAATGAAGGTTAATGAGGTTTATCATCTCATTATCTTTTGTCTTAGTTGCATTCGAAAAAATTCGACGTACAAAACAGACCTAATATCATTATCCTGACTTAACCTACGCAAAATTGGTGATCTTATTGGATGCTGATCCTCTTCGTGTTTGGCCATATGATAATTATTTGTCTGCATGATGTCTTTAATTTATATAGCTATTGTGAAATATAGCACAAGAGAGTCTAATTAAAATTCTTTTGAATTGGAACACCAACTTGGCGGCTGTGACGTCATGTGCAAACGCTCTATTATAAAATGCTGCTTTTGACGAGTCAGTGGAAGAGAGAAATGTTGAAGTCCGATTGAACGTCGTCCTGAACACATTAGGGCGTCTTTTCCAATTATTTTATCAGCTAATTGCTTTGACAGCAACCTGCACCCACAGTTCTTTATCCGACGACCGCGACCCAACAATGTCCTGTGTTTCTTCGTACACGGCGAGATGGCATTTTAACATCCTACTTCTTTTAGCTTTTATCTACATGTAGTTTACTTGTTTAGAGATTATTGTCGATCATTTGAATATGCTCGCCTTTGCAAATCTGACTTTGTAAAGGCTGCAGGTACCTGCTCAATGATTGCTGTTAGGATGAAATAAGCACTTGCTGCCTTCTGATCATGAGCTATCATCTTTACCCCTTTGCTCATTCTCGTCTGATTCTGCATCATCTCCTGCTCTCTCGGTACTAGTAACTGAAGATCGACAGACTGTTCCTCCTACTGACTGTACACTGCTTGCCCCTACGGTTACATCATACTCGATTGCCTTTTTCTGATTAAGGAAAAATTTCAGGAGATTTGGAAACTTTTTTTTCATATAGACCTTGCTTGTGTCAAAGCTGACTAGTTTCGACCCACTCTTTTCGGATGGTAATTTTTTCTCTATGTAATACTGACAGAACTAGTTGTGGTGATTCCTTTTTCAAGGCCAAGCCTTGGCAGGTCTTGATGAGCATCCTCAACAATATTGACAAACCGCTCTATTAATTTCTTATGTTCCTCTTCCTTTATCACCTTCACTGCTTTGATGCTAACAATCATTTAATTTAATTAAATTTGAAATGAACATTATATTATTTACAAATTATGAATGTCATTTATGCATGGTCAGTTTACAACGGAATTCAAGATTCCACAATACTTAAACCGCCAAATAGTCGACAAATTAAATACTAAATGAATTACAAATCTAGGCGCGTTAACATTTTGTTTATGTCATCATCTGCACTTCTAAGAACACTGAGCAGCACTTTACCAAGACATGATCTCGGTGCATAAGGTGCTGAATCCTTTGATATGCCTTTTTTACATCTGGAGTATTGTCTAAGATATCTTTCAAAACCGGGCATTTTCAGTTGTCACTATACAATTACTTTATGGTTTCCGTGTTTGGATGGCCTGATCCAAACACGCGGGAATGTTGCGAGAGTTAAGAAAAGCGAGCGAAACACGAGCCGAAGGCGAGTGATTTTGCCCGCTTTTCTTAACTCGAGCAACATTCCCAAGTGTTTGGATCAGTCCATCCAAACACGGAAACCATAAAGTAATTGTTTTATAAAATAACAACAACACGGTAGTCTGCAGTGTTTGGATGGCCTGATCCAAACACGGCTTTCGACCAATCAGAATACGCGTTATATACATGTTATTTTATAAAATCGTATACCCAATTCCTTACCTTCAGATCAGCTTATCTCTTAGCTTTATTTTCTTGCCTTCCTTTGCAGTAAGCCAGTAACCACAGCTGTCTTACATTCTTTGAATTTCTTTGGTCCATTCAATTTTTTTATCTCATTTCCTTGTGTTTATAAGTTCATTGGATTTAGCATTGGTTTGTTTGTAGTCTCCCAGTTAGGCTCATGTATCTAATCTTTCTTGGACTTTTTTCAATGAAGGAGTGACACAATACTTCTCCAAGATTTGTTCCACATCTTCTATTAACTGACCAACGACATTTTCACTTGCTCTCCTCTTTATCAATGCTCTTTTAGAGCTCTTTCATTCAGTCTTTCAGTTTGATGCATCTTCCTCGACTGTTTTACTTGCAGCTATACTTTACTAACTGTGTAACTAACTTCCTTTGCTGCATGTGTAACTAATTTCCTTTCTCATTGCTGCACGAAAGTTTCCTTGAGGTTCTTCAATCCAAGCATCGGATTCTTCTTGTTTGTCAGTAAGTGCAGCATAGTATGCTTAGATTCGACATTACTCCTTGATTCTACGAGCTCTCTCTATAAGTCCTATTAGTTAACAGCTTGCAACGATAACTGACATGACCGCTACTTAAAACAAAAATCCATCGCTTAAGAGTCATCGAACTTTCACGATTGCTGCCCGATCATGTTTTCGCATAACAAAACAAACTTCGAACAAATAAGTCAAACAGACATAGGTAATATAAACGCTGAATCGAATGGTGGCATTGTTCTTGTTGGGAACATGCATGGAACCGGAGATAAAGAGCAGCATAGTTCGCGGACCCCGTGATCTTTCGGTAATAGCGTCCGGAATTTTATATTATAGTCCGATATAATGATGAAAGTCTCTAAACTATGTTCTACTTTCTATATATAGCATTTGATATTATATGCGGAAGCGGAGATAAAACCCTGGGTACGAGCTTGCCACCAATATATAGGCTTCGCTTAATTATTTCGCGCGCTCGCTGCGGCAGTGGTAATGATGTTTGCGTATACATTGACATGTCAAGCACCCAGAATAATTTATTACATATACATATACATCACAAAATTATAACACGACATCCTGAATGTCTATTTTTTACAACAATACATAACAAAAAATGTTTTCCTATACTTTGGTAGCCTCCAGAGATACAGAAATGGGTTCGATGCCATATTCATTAAAAAGGTAATATCCGCTGTATAAAACAATACCGCAACAGTTGTAGCCGAGAGCGTCCCCCCCTCTCCTACCATATTCTTCAAAGGCCAGACAATTAATGATGGTATTATCCCGAATATAAGAATAATGTTTACTATAAGTACTGTATAGTTAGAAAACGGTTTTGATTTCTTAAACGTAGTTTAATCATCTGTTTAATAATTTCTGATTTTGAAGTATCAGTTTCGAGAGATAAATGCTTTTTACGGATTGAGATAAAAGCCAGCAAATATACAAGGACTGTATTTAAGTAAAATACACTGGAATATGTAACTACTATCAATACGTTGAAAAAGTATGCAGTTATCGTAGCGACGACGCAGTTAAATAACCATAACACAACTATCCAAGTGCAACAAAACCGAGATGTAACCTTGACTTGATGCCATAACGGGTGAGCTACAGACATATATCTCTCCAAAGCCAGGATTGTCACCGAAGGGAAAGATAAAAAATAAACAAAACTTCCAAATATTGCATGAAAAGTTCCCCAAGCGCCCGGCAAACAGACAGCACTCTTGTACGTAGTGTGTGATACCAATAGTTCCTCGAAGTGGAACAACGAGTTTAACAAATCAGCAATGTTTAAATTTGCGATGAAATAGGCAGATGGATTGCGTAAACATTTTAAAGGATCTTTATAGATAGCAAACAAAAGTAGAACATTAGCTAATTTTGCAATGACGATGATAGATAAGTAAACTGCAAGACTCCATGGGACGATATCTCCTAAAAAACTTCCACAGTATTCAAAATCGCCGGCAAAGTTAAATGAACCATTTTTACCAATGCTCCAGTAACCGCCATCCATTTCAAGTGAAATAACTTCTTCTGAATAAAACAGTGTATATTATCATGTACTGTATATATATATATACAGCCTCGTGTTGTTTATGGTGAACAATATATGTATACTGCAGAATAAAACGAATAACTTTTGTACACAGGCCAAGTAAATATCGTATATTATATAGTGTTATATCTATTGATAATATATAACTAAACGAGAGACTTCTTTATCCCAATTGGTTAAGGGTGTCACTACGACATTATAGAGTGCAATTATTCAAATGTAGGTGATTTACGTCATGCAATTATCAATATTCTAGATGGTATAGATGTTCTATTGTTATTTAATTTTTCTTCTAAAACTTTCACTCTTTTTCATATATTTTATTTATTTTATTTAGATTACTTCTGAAATTCTAATTAGATTATATTAAAGTATAAAATTCTTTATATTTACAACGTTTCGGGAGTTTTGCTGCTCGTCTTCAGGCTTTTACTCATTGCATGTTGTTTTTACAATAATCGCCATAATTGCACAATGTTGTTACATATCTGCACCATCTGCACGTCACTTGCACACGCAATTGAAAATTTCAATTCTTAGACTTTTTCAAATTTATAACATTTATTTATAGTATTCTACTATATGACTAAACAATAAATATGGTACAACACATATGTTAAACGAAAGGTAAACTGACAAAAAGACAAGACAACACAGTTAGTATATAGATAAACTCAAATGGAAGAGCTAAAACGGGACAATAGTCCCATGATCCCATGCAAGGTGTTAGGACAAAGCCAATATTAACCATTTAGCATATGGCTTTGACGCCTTTGTCCTATCTTTATTAGTTATATTTAAAGTAATTATATACGGGGAACACCTTGCATGCGACTATACTTGTCCCGTTTGTGCTCTTCCGTTGAGTTTTATCTACTTAGTGAGTTTTATCGACTATTCGCACTAATAGTGCGAATAGTCGACGAATAGTGCGAATAGTCCGCGAATAGTCGACGAATAGTGCGAATAGTCCGCGAATAGTCGACGAATAGTGCGAATAGTCCGCGAATAGTCGACGAATAGTGCGAATAGTCCGCGAATAGTCGACGAATAGTGCGAATAGTCCGCGAATAGTCGACGAATAGTGCGAATAGTCCGCGAATAGTCGACGAATAGTACGAATAGTCCGCGAATAGTCGACGAATAGTGCGAATAGTCGACGAATAGTACGAATAGTCGACGAATAGTGCAATAGAGAATTTGCAAGGCTTTCCACCGTGCTGTAGAACTAAATTTACCGAAGCAGGGCGGGGGGGGGGGCTCTATTGACAAACATGAAATCGTGAAAACATTCGTTGATGTCAATGACGTCATACGTAATCGGTAAAAATTACGGGACTACTGAGTTTTAACAAATATTTAACAGGAAGTAGACAATTTGACAATTTGACAATTTCCGACAGCCTTGACAATTTTCCGACAATTTCCGGCAGCATTGGCAATTTTACGACGGGTGTCAACAATAGGGGAGGGCCATGCCCCCCCCTGCCCCCCGCCACTGATGACAATCACTAGACGTATGACGTCATTGACGTACGTCGACGAATGTTTTCACGATTTCATGTTTGTCAACAGAGCCCCCCCCCGGTAAATTTAGTTCTATAGCACTGCTGCAAAGCCTTGCAAAGTCTCTATTGCACTATTCGTACTATTCGTCGACTATTCGTGGACTATTCGTCGCCTATTCGTGGACTATTCGCACTATTCGTCGACTATTCGCGGACTATTCGTACTATTCGTCGACTACTCGCACTATTCGCTTCACTATTCTGGTTTTATCAATTGCCCAACAATTAGTGATAGCTAGCTAAGGCCCCGTTTACACTATACCGGATTCGCTCGTCACGCGATCATCTTCTGCCGTTAAGGAGCAATGGTTAATAGCAAATGCTTATTAGTTTGACAGAATTGGCATGTTTATTTGGGTCTCTGAGATTAAAAATCTTCACAGCCTTTCAATGCCTACAAAATTTGACCCACTCCGATAGCAATCCGGTATAGTGTAAACGGGGCCTAAGTCCCATGGCAAGGACAGTCACGCCAGTCACTGACAACGTACAGCTAGGCAATGCAAGGACAGTCACGAGTCAATGAACGACCACGTACAGGCCATGTCAATGTCATAAACGGAACTAATAAATACAGTATCAGCCTTTATTTCAGCATTTTATTTCTGGATAAGCACTTGGTGGACCAGTATAAAATTGGCCATTTTATACCAAAAATCAAATGCTAAAATAAAGGCGAGTTTGGGCCAAAATGTTTAGATTCTTGTTTATATCAC